TGGATTTTAATCCACGGCTGGGCTTTATTCTTGACTAGATATTTTTCTTGATATAACATTGGCTTCCAAGACACGACACTTCGACCTTCTTCTTCCTTCCTCTCGACTTTGGGGTTTATCTGGCTTCTCTTCTTGAGGGTTCTCTGTGTGGGAGGAAAATCGGTGACTTAGGGAGTGATACCTTGGGGTTTCTAGGCCTGAGATAGTGGCTAGATTATTGGCATCTTCCTTCAAGTCTCTTTGATAGAATCAGGGCCGTTTGGGAGATCTACGATTGATGACCAAACCGATTCATCACCTGGGGTTTTCTGATGATCTCTTTATCTCTGGATTGCGGACTGCAAGTGTGGGATGGGCTGTTCCTGAGCCTAAACGCTCCAGCCATTAAAGGGGAAGTGGTGCACGAGGGCTCGACCAAAATGGAAGGGAAGTTGCACCGTTGATAGGGGGTCTTCTGTCTCGTTTATGAAGCTTTAGTTTCCTGTCATTTCTGTTTTTGTACATGCTATATCTCTGGTTTTAGTTTCGGTTCTTATGCTGTATACATATAATTGAAATCATTAATCACTTGTGTTGTACTTTGCTATGCATGATATATCCTGTTAATGCCATTGGTACACGTTTTGATTATAAGTTAGTGTTGCTAGAATTCTGATCTTGAGTTTAAAGTCCAATATTATGAGCATATTACTGTGTATTGGAGTCTGCATTGTGCTGTAATTTCCCAACAAAGTGAAAATCCTGCAGAATTAACTAGATATTTTTCTCCTCGTATGCTTAAAACCATAGAACCAGACGGCGCAATGACAATAGATTTAATGATTTTTTGAAACATCATGAATGTCAATATCCCGTTGTTCTGCTATAGCACGTCATCTACTTTTTAATTTCAACAAAAATAATAATAAAAAAATAGGAGGGCTCTTGGATGAGCCAAGCTTGTGTGGACCAGACTTGGCTCGACTCATTACCATCCCTAATGCATGGTAAGAATATAGGACGTGAGTTTCAAAAACAATAACATGATGATAGTGGTCCCCAAAACCATTTAAGCTATTGTAAAGGTCATGCAATCACGGGTTAGATTATTTGTTCCCATATTATGAGCGTGTTTGAGAGCAATTTTTGTGGGATTTTAATCAAAATTATAGCCGTTATAGTCAACATGTGGACCCCACATGTGAGAGGGAAAGTAAAAAATGNTAGGATGTTAATCAAAATAATAGCCGGTATAGTCAACCTGTGGGCCCGACCTATGAGAGGAAATGTCAAAAAAGGAATATGATTTGATAGTTAACGGCTAGAATTTTGATTAAAATTTCTCTCAAACAGGGCCTTGATATTTAAAAATAATCATGCTATATGTACATCATTGATGATATTAAATTTGAAATTCTTTAATATGGCAGCAATCTACACTATTGATTTAAATACATCCGTCCATCAATGACCATATTTCTCTCACATAGAAAAGATGTCAAACTTGTTGTCAATCAAAAATGTATATCTGACTTTATTCATTTAAAAGCCACGTCCAGTAGCTCGGTAGTTTACAAAAAAAATTGCAGATTTAACCGGTTCTTGACCAGGACATTAGCATGTCGGTCCAATTACCTCACACAGCCTGATTAAGGGTTTGAATCTTTAGTTTTTTTATCCCGTTTTAATAACTATACTTGAGAAGCAATATTTGTCCATTCTCGATTGAAATTTGCTATTTCATTTACTTTGAAAAATAGTATTAGCAGATATGACTAGCCTTTGGTGAGTTTGAACAAAATAAAACTGAAAACTCAAAATAGTATCTATAACAATTTTTAATTCCAAAATAACAATATTCTCAAAACTAGAATGGACCGGCCGGTTAAACCGAAATTGGAAACTGGACTGGAATCCGGTCAGATCATACTATAGAAACTGGATGTAAAGAAACCTGTGTAAAACCCGGGAATCCGTCCTGTTCAAACCGAAAATCGATGAACCAATCACGATTTTCTGGGTTATATTTTGTTGAAAAAAAAATTAGAACATGGTGAAGAAGAGGAAGTTTCAATTTCTCCGGTTGCTTAATTGTCGACGGAGCTCTTAGCAACCCCTTGCACAAACTTTCAATCAAAATATTCAACATTCAAATCTAAAATTATCTTAAAGATATCAATAATAATTTTTAAATAATGAGTTTTAAAAATTATGCTTCAACTAATAAAATTTTTTAATGTAATAAATTTATTTATTTAATATTCAACCTTTTGACCCTTAACCCTTTAATATTTCCGGGTCGATGATCGGGCCGATTCTAAAAACATTGCGAAATGATGAGATTTATCTAGAAAAAAGAAGGATTAGAGGGTCCCAATATGTTAATACATATGTCAGTTAAATAGCGATAAATTGTGTTACGCCTTGCTTTACAAGGCCCAAAATATCATAAATGGCAAGCAAATGTAGAGCCACACGGTTTTTTCAAGTGTGCAGGAACAATACTTGCGTGGACGTGAGAGGCCTTGAGATCTGTTGGCCATGTCGGAGGTACATTTTGGGGTCAACCAATTGATTCGCCATCAAAAAAGAGTTATTCCACAACCAAACCTTGGAGAAAGGTCATGGCTCTTGAAGAAAGAACGGCTAAGGACATTGAAAATGTATTTCTAGAAGCTTATTCTTGATATAAAAGCTATTGTTACACCATGAGTTCTAATCATTACGGCTCTCAAGGTAGAAATCGACAAAAGGAGGCTTCTGAAGAAGAAGTTATTTGGACAAATGTCAATACCCGTCGACCCCACAACTAACATTGACGAGGTGGCACTACCGCACGCCTAGCAAGGGAGGTGGGAGAGATGGACACAAACACGAGAAACATAGCTCAGCATAATATCATCATGCTACAATTACTTATGCAAATGCATGGGCAAGCAGGGTACCAAATGCCCCATTAGCAGAGATTTCAACAAGAAGATGAGGAAAATGACAAGGGGACTTACCCCCAGAGACATAGAAGGGAGCCTAGCCCCATCGAAATGGAGGTGGAGATAGATATGTTTACAAATTATACCTCCATCAGACCTGGTAATAACTTACCACAGAGGGCAGAAAATTTCCCTCCAAAATATGCACAAGAACGGGAGCCTTAGAGGCAGTGGCGGATCCAAGATTTTGAGTCAACACGGACGACCGTTGACCGAGTTGGCAGTAATAAAATATTAATAGCCATGTTTGATGCCCATTTATTGCAAAAAAAATGTATTTTTGAATAGTGATTTGATGGAGAATGTGTGGTTAAAAATAAGAAAAAGTTTTGAATTTGCATGTAATATTAATTTATTGAAAAATGTGTAGTTGAAAATAAGTGAGAAATGTATTTTGCAAAAAAAGGAAGCAAACAAGGTTTAAAATTTAAATATAACAATTATTTTGTTCAAACTAAAAATGTATAATTCTGTTATACAAATTAGCA